AGACCTGTTCATGGAATGAACCAGGCTCAAAGAGGGACCCTTAAAGCAATTTTCTTAAACAGTTTGTTCAATGGACTATACTTCCTTTATCCCTCAAATTCAGGGAGTTCTCTAAATAACCTTATGACATAGAAATTCTACTCTCACACTGAGTCTGAACACACAGCTTCCATTCAGCTATGATTCAGAAACGATAAAGTCAAGTGCCTTAGATGACCCAACACTTCAATCTGCACTCAAAGCCAAGACGTCTTTCTGCAGGGGCTGTGCCCAGCAAGAGCTGGCAGCCTCAGAGCCGCTGCTTTGGTGAAGAGGTCATTGTCAATGTTTCTCCCTCTTCTCTCCCCTCGGTCAGCCATAGGCTCTTTCTGGGTCTCAAGACGGAGTCGGACTCTGGTCCATGGTGGGAAACTCTCCACAGTTCCCGCCAAATTTCCTGGAGCAGGTAGCTCCACATCCTCCCACTTCTTATTGAGAAAACGACAAATACATTTCCAAGGGAATATCTGCATCCAGTTCTTAGTATTTGTTTACAGATCCTCCTCTCATTTAGCTGTAATTTTGCATAATTTTCCTACATATTTTATTGTAGTAAAATTTATATAACATAACATTTACTGTTTTTACCAATACAGTTCCATGGAATTAAAATATTAATTATATTGTGCAACAATCACAATCATCTGCCTCCGTAACTCTCTTTATCTTCCCGAACTGAAACTATTAAACGTATTAATTCTTCTTCGCCCACCCTTGGCAACCACTATTTTCTTTCTGTCTCTATGACTCTGATTACTCCAGGTAACTCACGTAAGTAGAGTCATACAGTATTTGTCATTTTGTGACCATAGTTAGCAGAAACCCTTCAGATCCACTCATGTCATAGCATATATTAGAATCTTTTCCCTTTTTAAAGCTGAATAATATTCCTTTGTAAGTATACATTTTGTTTATTCATTCATTAATAAACACTTAAATTTCTTCCAATTTTTGGCTATTATAAATAGTGCTACTGTAAATATGAGAGTACAAATATCTCTTTAAGACTGTGCTTTCACTTTTGTGGGAGTATATACCCATATACCCACCAGTGGATCAGTTAGTCAAAGTAACCCTGTTTTTAATTTTTTTGATGAACTTCTGTATTGTTTTCTATAAGGACTTCACCATTTTATATTCCTACCAGTGTTGCATAAATGTTGCAATCTCCACACTCCTTAGCTACAGGAATATTTTAGTTAAAAAAATAATCAATCCATTGGGTGTCACATGGTATTCCATTTGTGGTTTCAATTCTTACTGCCCTAATTAGTGAAGTCATGTGCTCGCTGGCTATTCATGCAACTGCTTGGGAAACTCGTCTATTCAAGTACTTTTCTCATTTTACAATAACTTGTTTTTTTTTCTTTTTTTGCTTGACTTGTTTATCAGAAATCTTTATATATTCTAGATTGTAATCCCCTATTAGATACATGATTTGCAAATATATTCTCTAGATTAGCTTTCCTTCCCATTGACAGTGTTCTCTGATGCACAGAGGGCTTTAATTTTGATGAAGTCCAATTTATCTTTTCCTTTCCTTTGTGGCTGTGTTTTTGGTGTCTTCATTGCTAAATCTAGTACCATGAAGATTTTCATCTGTGTTTTCTTCTGAGTTTTACTCTTCCACTTAGGTCTTCTATCCATTTTGAACTATTTTTTGTATACAGTTGGGAAGACAGGTGTAACTTCTTTCTTTTCTGAGTGTATCTACAGTTTTCCTCGCACCATTTTCTGAAAAGATTGTCCTTTCCCCACTGAACCATCTCAACACTTGTCAAAACCACTTCCCATATATGTAAGGGTTCATTTCTGGGTTCTGTATTCTATTCCATTGATTTTTAAGGCTACAGAGTATTGATCACTGCAGTTTGGTGTTAAATTTTGCAATCAGAAAATGTGAACCTTTCACCTTTGTTTTTCTTAGTTGACGTATTATATATGGTGACTTGAAGGGGACTTTATAAGTTTAGTATACTTCTATAATTTTCTTTTTTTAAGAGCAGAGAACATTTATTGGGGGAAAGAAAACTATATTTTGAGGGGGAAAGAAAGCTTCTGTCTGTCTGCCCGATATTTTTCTAAATATTTAAAAACCCACTCCTCTCTTTATAAAGCATTCCCAGTTACCTCACCAGGACTTTGCTGCCCCTTCCTCTGAACTCTTCAGCTAAAAAGGAAAAGGAGTGTGTGTGTTGATTGACTTTGTGCTGGATGTAATTGTCCTATGTGACTGTGTGTCTTGCCCACATAGTTGTGAATGATTACACATGTGTTCCTGTCTCAGTGCCTGGAAAACGGTCAGTTAAGCAAAAATGACAACCCTGTTAGTTCTCTGAGGTGATTGAGATCTGGCCAAGTGATGCCTACGTTTTGAATATCAGCAACTGCCTAACGTGCTCAGCTATCTTGAATGAGACCCTTCATGCCTGAATTTCATAATCTGTGATTTCCAACAGAAAATGTATACTGATCATAGCCATGTTTCCTTGGTGACTCTGTGTACGAAATCTTGGCTTCTATTCAAGAATGCCCTAGGCTGAGTTGATCTGTCCTATGTTAAAGGTCTGTTTGTCCCAATTAGGCCATCTTTTGCTTATTTTTCTACTCTCCTTAGTTTTAATGACACCCTACACCATCAGCCCATCAGCTGTGATCTTGCCTGTCTGTCTCTTCTGGTTAATTTATTTTCTAAATTGTAAATTGGGGTTCACATAACAAGACTCTGGACAAGTAAAAGTAAACAAGTCATGTGTAGGGTCCTATGGGCTCACTGAACGGTCAGAGGTTTGGGCTTTAAAATATCCACCATGGCTGTTTCAAAGCCTTTGTGCTCCCTCTGACACACAGCCCTGAGTTGATAAGTCCTCTGGTGAGCTGACACAGGAATTTTAGATGCACTGCAAGAGTGTCTGCCATGTGCCCAAATCAGCTGGTTTAGGATTAAGCCAAAGGTGCAGGGCTTGGGTCTCAGCCTCAGGTATGTGAGAGAGAGAGCGGTTGGGAAACAGGACATGTAGACAGTCCTTCCTGAGGAAGAAGTGCAGGACTCTCTTGGGTGCAGTCCTCCACCCCACTCTGAAAGAATGATCCTGGGACCCTTAGTTGTGGCATTTTTAGTGGCCTGAGCTCAGGGCAGTCTTTCTCTTCTCCATGAGTGACATCAAAGGAGCTGCCATACATTTCACCCTCAGGGACTGTAAAACTGACCATCTCAGGCTCTTGATCACCCACATCTTCTGATGTGACTAACACTGGCCCTGCTGCCTCTGCCCCTATCATTTATCTGATGAACTCTTTTTTTTTTTTTTTGGCTTTTTCATTTTTATTGGTACCAGGGATCGAACTCACGACTGCCTGCTTGCAAGGCAGGCACTTATGCCACTCAGCTAAATCCCCAGCCCCTATCTGATGAACTCTTATTCTCCTTTAAATATGTGTGAGGGATGCTACCTTTGCAGACTACTTCACTGTCCTTTGGCATCTGCATCCAATGCTAATGAGTGGAACATCTTTCTGAGTCCTGTTCCAGCTGGGGACTATCCTGAACTTCCTTTCAGATGAGTGCCCTACTTCCTGGGACATGGCATGTTCTGGGCTTATGTTCTGGGCTAAGAAAAGAGGGAAGAGGAGGTACAGGACCACACCATTCACTTCCCTTAATCTAATAAGAGAAGAAAAAATTATCTGCTCCTGCAATGGACTTCTCACAGTATGCTGTTGATGGAGGTACAGTGTCAGTGGGACCCCTTCATTCATCTAGCACAGGCCTTGGCCTACGTGGGTAGAGGTGCTTGCAGAGTGACCATCAGACAACTGAATCCTTCCAAAGGCAGCAGTGTCAGAAGGACCATGTGAAGAAGCTTGCCTTGTGCCAGGTGGCTGCGCTCCTCGGCTAGATGGTGTTAGTGTTAATTTCTCTGTGTTAACCTCAATAATGTGCAGCAATTCAGGGTTTTCAAAGATCTCAGAGGCCCCCATAACCTCACTGGTGCTGTGAATCAAGGAGATGTTGATGAGGAGCCTGGGCTTAAAGATATTCAGCAGGTTGTCCAAGGCCATCTGCATTTTGTTGTGGGATGCAGTTGGGAGGAGAAGTCAAGCTGCCTACAGAGAGCTTCTTCTCTCACAGAAGAAGATCTTCCCTTGGCCCATGGAACTCTGCCCTTTCCCTGAAGGCCGCCTAAATCCACCCACTTCATCTGTCACAGAATAGGAGAGGAAGTGTGGACCAGGCATCAGAAGAGGTGAACTGTGGCCTTGCCTTGTGATATGCAGCCCTGCCTCTTCCTTGGAATATACATCTGTGTCTTTCTGGGCCTTACGTTTCTCCACTGTAAGAAGGGAACGTGGCACCTGGAGGGTCAGGATGGTGGGAGTGTACATGGTGGTGGCTGCTCAGCAAAGGTGCTGGTGCCCTCTTCCCCTCTCTTCCTTTGTCTTCTTCTCACTGAGCAAAGAAAAAGTGCATTGAACAGATGATTAAGAAACCTGAACTCCAGCCCAGCTTTACCTGTACTTCCTTGAATCTCAGTTTCACTTGCATACAGCAAGAGTTTGAACACTATGGTATCTGAAATCCTTCACAACTCTTGGATTCCAGCATTCTTCTGCCTTCCTCTTTCTTTTTTCCTCTTTCCCCAGTACTTTCGAGGGGGGAAGGAGACCTGTTAAGTATGTGCGTGCATGGTGTGTATATGAACATGTGTGTGAGTACGCTTGTGTGTGTGAGAGAATCCTGTCACTGGTTGGGTGGTGGTGAGGAGAAAATGGGCAGGACATTACCGTGAGCTAGCAGAGCTCTGAGCTCTGAGCTCCCTCAAAGGCTCAAGGTGCTTGGGGCTGTTTAATCATTAAAGGAAAGGAATGAAGCCAGGAGAACCTCAAAGTCCAGCCTGCTAGGAACCGACACCAATAGATGAGCAAGGAGTCCTGAAGCTTCAGTGAACATGATGAAGACAGAGGCGGTTCTGCACTCAGCCCTGAGCTCTGAAAGTAGCCTGCACACCTATGACATCGTGGTTGTGGTCATCTACTTTGTCTTCGTCATCGCTGTGGGGATCTGGGTGAGTGGGGCCTGAGGCCAGGGCTGCAGAGCCGGGAAAGCAGAAGCACCTCTCATCTCTAGCCAAAGGCAAAGATGGGAAAGCAAGAGCAGACCATGTAACTAAAGGATCTGAGAGAGGGGAAAAAACCCTTCAGAAATCTCCCCCACTACGCCCCTGCTTCTTTCCATAGATGAGCAACTGAGGGCCAAAGAAGGCTGTGGCTTGTCTGAGGTCACAAAGCAAACCAGAGGCAGATCAGGCCCAGAGACTCCAGCCCTGCCTCCCTGTGTGTGTGCATCTGCTGCTGCCTTTGGCCTCAGCCATCATTGGCCACCCTGAACCCCATTCCTGCCTTTTTCCTCAGCTCAAGATCTGCAACTTGAGAAAAAAAAAAAAAAAAAAAAAAAAAAAAAAAAAAAACCTTGACCAGTCTTCTTTGGGTCATGATCAAGGAGCTAAGAGTCTGCATTCTTAGGGAAGGAAGGGTGCCAGACACATTCCAAGGTCCCACAGCTCTCCACTGATCACAGGAACCAGGGAGCTGTGGGCAGGGCCCAGGAAGCTGAGCTCAGGTCCCAAGTCCAACTGTCAAAGTCTCCTCTCTGAGTCTCAGTTTTCTCTTACGGACATGAAGAATAGGCTGAAGCCTCAGGAAGGGCAGGAAATGTGTGAACATGCACCTGGAGCCTGGCATGGAGGTGGCAGACAATAAGGGCTGTTATCATCACCTGTGCTCTCCTGACCTGCCAGCACCTTCAGACTGCTGCAGGGCAGACTGGACCGTGATTCCTGAGCCTTGGGCAGGTCAGGAACCCTCCCTGAGCCTCCACCCCATCCTCCCTCCCTAAGAGGAAGTCATAGTGCCTGCCTTCCAACATTCCTGAAGGCAGAATTGGGCAGACAGGTGCTCAATAGCTCCCCAGAGGTAGCCTGGGTCAAAAAAGACCAACTGTGCTGTGAATTGGACCAGTTACTCCCTGCCCCAGGGAATTTTTCTCCTCTGCGAAATGAATTTCCCTGGCCTCCAAGGGCATCAGAGGTAAGCCAGGAAAGTTCAAGCACAAGCTTAACAAACATCAGGCCCTACAAGAGTTAGCACTCCCTAATTACTTTCTCCTTTACTTTCCTGGAACTCAAGGATTTCTCCTATCTCAGAGCCAGGCAGGGACCTATTGCCCTCCCTACCAGTAAAGCTTCTGAGAGTTCCCCTTTTGCTGATCAGGGCCAGCCCTGATCCATGTACTGAGAAATCTCTTGTGTTCCTCAAATCTTTCATTTTTGAGAGCACAAACCTAAGAAGCCAAGTACTGACCACCTACTGCTATTTCCAGGGTCCTGGAGAGAGCTCAGAAGTGTGGCCTGATAAGAAACCAGGCTAAGTGAAGATCCTAAGCAGCTCCACTAATCCTGCCTAGAACCCATAGAGCCTTCCTCCAAATCAAACTGGTCAGAACAGCCACTGTCTGCAGTGTAGGAACCCAGCCAGGAGGAGGAGAAAGGCAAGCTCAGGAGAGGGAGCCACTATGCACCTGAAGCCCACATACCACAGGAGCCTCTGAGAGCCAGTACAGCGGAGGAAAGGATAAGGACATGCTAGCAGCCAGCTGGTACCCTTGCACAGCACTCGCCATTCACAAAGACTCTGGCCATCCTTACCTCCTTTGCTCTTCACCTCAGCCCTCAGGGACTGCTGAGAATCGCAAAGATGAAGTAACTCTCCCACTCCCAAGGACCTATAATTTAAAAATGGTGAAGTAGTCAGGCTGCTCTGTCCTGCCTGGGTTGTTAGTCTCTGTGTTCCCATAGTGCCTGCACCCAGGGACAGGAAATCTGGGGTGAGGGCAGAGACTGGAGAAAACCTTGAGAAGTGTTTATGTTTACCATTTCCTTTCCAGGCATCAATCCGTGCAAACCGAGGGACCATTGGTGGTTATTTCCTGGCAGGCAGGTCCATGAGTTGGTGGCCGGTGAGTGCCCTCACACATCCCCCTACCCACATCCCCCTGTCATCTTCTCTTGCCTGAGCCAAGGTACCAGCCTCCCATTGGGGTTCCCAATTCTAGACTCCTCTGTCACCCTAATCTACCCCACACTCCAAGTGGCCTTAATAACACAGCTTGACAAGCCCCACTAGAACCTTCTGAGTGTGGGTCGTAGGCTTTTTCTAGACCCACAGAAATAGAGCTAGAGTGTCCCTACCCTAGAGTAGCTCAGAGCTGAGTGGACAGACGGACTCATGAACAACATGATTAAGCTGGGCTAGATGAAACCCTCGGGGTCTCTTAAGAGCTTCAAGGTTGCCCCTGCACTGGGCAGTAGGCTGCAGTTTTGGGGGGTAAGCTCCTTGGGAAGGAGCCATTGAATAAATAGTCAAGTGAGGAGATTGAGGAGCACAGTCCCTGACTCCACATGAAACTAATCCCTCAAGTGTTCCTCCTGTTCTAGCCCATCAGACCACCCCACATTTCTACTGGTCCTCGAAACTCAATAGGATGGAAGGAGGTGAGCCCTGTTTGGAAAACTAGTAGTGGACTCATCAGTTCTGGTGGGAAATGAAGCTGTGTGCACACTCAGGCTGTGTGCACACCCAGGCCTGCCAGCCTCACATTCATTCATACACACTCAGGCACCCATACACATTCCTACAGGCCCACATACACACACACTTGCACACTCACACAGTTTCCTACTCACACACTCACACAATCGCACCCTCACACACACTCCCATGCAGTCTTACACATTTTCTCACACTCATTCTTGCATGTCCTCTTACAGTCACATGCTTCTTACTCTCACGCTCACACACTCATAGTCACGACCCCGCTCTCACACACTCCCTCCAGCACATACTCTAGAGAACTAAACCCATGGAAACAGCTCTGCTTAGCCAGGGACTCCCAAAGGGCAGTCCTGGAACCCACGTAGACACCAAGTACGAAGCTCATCAGGACAGGCTGTTCTGTCCGGCTCAGAAGAAAGCCTAGGCCCTGCTGCCCAAGCTCCAGCCTGCAGAGGGCAGAGTGTCGGCCCAAGTGGGCCTGAAGAAAGCCAGGCTTCCAGCAGGAGCTGTCTCAGCAGGGCTCCCAGGGACCCATGAGCCCCACACAGTAAGTGCAGTGTGCTGCTGCCACCCTTGGGGGACCAGTTGTGAACTGTGCCTCCGACACCTGAAGCTTAATCTAACCTGAGCCAGGTTGGGTGCAGTTCCAACCCCAGATGCCTGAAATAATTAACTCCATGCTCAGTTCAGCACTATTGCAGCAGCGTGCCCAGGGGTCTTTCTTGCCTGTGCTGACGCTGTGCCCCTGCAGAGTGTCCCAGCAAGGCTGTCAGCAGAAGAATAGCAGCCATCCCTGCTCAGAGAGGCCTGCGTGCTCCTCTTCTTCTTACCTTCCACATCTCCTGGATTAGGAGTGGGGCGTCCCGGGGAGGGTGAGATGGGCATGCCTCGTTCCTAGGAGAACCTTCTCTCCCGCAGCAGGGACCATGCACTCTCTCTTCTGGCCCAAGGCTCCAGTCCATCCCTACCATCACCGTCGGGCCACCAGAGAGTGAGAGTATAAATGCATGCAAATGTCTGCATGTGTGTGTAACAGAATATGTGTAAGTATGTGTAGGTATGTGCATGCGAATGTATGTATGTGAGTGTGCACATGTGTAAGCATATGTACCTATATGGAATGTGTGTGAATGCAAGTTAGGTGTATAAGTGCATATGTGAGAGCAAGTATACATGAGTGTATGTGTATACATGTGGGTTTTCCTGTGTGAGTACATGTGCATGTGTGAACATGCGTATGTGAGTGTGCAGATGCAAGCAAGGGAGTGCATGTGAGTGTATATGTGTGAATGTGTGTGCGTGCGTGTGTGCACATATGTGTGTGCACATGTGTGTGTGCATGTGTGTGTGTGCACATGTGTGTGTGCACTTGTGTGTGTGTGAGCAGCACAAGGGACTCAGCAAGGTAGGGTCCCTCGCTTCCACACCTTTGCATGCCCTGCCACTTCTCATCTGAATGCCTCAGCCTTCAGACTTCTTACAGCCAGCCCCTCCCTACACCCTGGAAGAATGCACACTGGGAAAGAATGCACCCAGGTTCTTGGATGCTGCAGGTGAGGCTGTGTGAGAGGAAATGATTCTACCGAGGAGTCACAGGGTACAAAGCTGAGCACCCAGGCCTGCCCCAAGGCCTCCCCAGCCTCAGAGCCCCACCTCTGCCCCCTCCTCCCTCTCAGTGCTGGATTCCATCTAATAATAAGCACTAACATGGAGTAACTTCTTAGCAGGGGCTTTGCACAGTGGTTATGGGAGCCAGACAGCCAAGACTTTAATCTTCACTTGGTCACTTGGAAAAGTTTCTTATCAATGCCTCGGTTTGCTCAGAAGTAATATGTGGAAAACTGTGATAGTTTTCTGCTACGGCTACAAATACCTAAGATGATTAACTTGTGAAAAAAGGAATATTTCTTTCCACCTTCCCCCTCATCCCATGGCTAGGGAGTAAGAAGAAAAGAGGATTCTCTCCAAGGGTCACCTCCAACGACCTGTGGCTTCTCACCACCTAACACAGCAATGACAGTACCTGCCTTTATCGGGTTGTTATGAGGATTAACTGAGCTTATATGTCCAGTGCTTGGCAATACAGTGTAAGTGCTGTCTGCTGTGATCCTTGTCACCATAATTACCATTATCTTCCCTTCTATAACCTTACAAGACTTGGCCTCCCCTCTGAAGAAGAATAGGCAACTCAGAGGCCGGCCTGACATGTGCTCAGCCTCTGGGTCCCTCCTCTGCCCAGCCTTGCCATGGAATCTGCCCTATGAAAGCTGCCTGCCCACCTCCCCCTGTCTTTTGCCTGGAGGGTCTGAGGTTGATGCCCCCTGCTGTCCCTGGGTTCCCTTCTGTGCTCACTTTGCCACTTCTCTGGGTGGATTGGAGTCTGTGGCTTCATTTGTCTTAACATCAGTTCTTTCCTGTATAAATTTGGAAGGCCAGTGCTCCTCCTTCTGGCCATTTGTGGACATTAAATGCATTAGGGCATATAAAGTGCTCAGTGCAGTGTCAAATAAATGTCAATTCCATGCCGTCTCCCATGCTAGTAGTCCTGACCCCAGATCAATTCAGATTAACCTTGACCTCTGACCTTTGATCCTACTTGTGCCTTGCAGATTGGAGCATCTCTGATGTCCAGCAATGTGGGCAGTGGCTTGTTCATTGGCCTGGCTGGCACAGGGGCTGCTGGGGGCCTCGCTGTGGGTGGCTTTGAGTGGAACGTAAGGAAACTCTCTTGGCTGCTCGAGGACAATGGGGGTCAGAGCTCACCCCCTCCCCAACCTTAGTGTTGAGATAATCCTTAGAGGAATTTGGGAGGCTGCCTGGTGAATGGGAACTCATCACACAGATGAGGAAAGCAAGAGCTGGAGGAGGTGGATGGGTCCCTCCCTTTCCTATTGAAGGATCTCCCCCAGTACTCATTAGCTCTGGGTAGGAGGCTTCTCTCCGACGTTGTCTGAAATCTCATTACCTTCTTCTTATTTTCTCAGGCAACCTTCCTGCTTGTGGCCCTTGGTTGGATCTTTGTCCCTGTGTACATTGCAGCTGGTGTGGTCACTATGCCACAGTACCTCAAGAAGCGATTTGGGGGTGAAAGGATCCAGGTGTATATGTCTGTCCTGTCTCTCATCCTCTACATCTTCACCAAGATATCGGTGGGTATCACTCCAAGGGGTCTGCTTGTCTCTGTGTATTGCCACGGTCTTGAGGCTGACAGGCAGCTCACACTCACAGTTTGGATGGATGGGTGAGTGGGAAGATGGAAGGGAGGGAGGAAAGGATGATAAAGGAAAGGTGGAAGGGAGGAAGAGGGGTAGATGGATGGCTGGGGAGAGAAGGAAGGATAAAAGAAGAGGAGGCTACATCCACTCACTTTCATTGTGTGCCCCCTTTGGCACTGGGACAATCAGAGAAGAACGATAAATGTTTTAAGTGCATGACAGCTCTTCTTAAAAAGACAAAGATAACAATCTGGAGTTCATGCTCATTTATCTTTATATTAGTTGGTTCTTCATCAGCAACTATTCACTCAGTGTTAGTTAAAAGAGCTTAATGGGTCCCGTCTGCTTGCAGACTGACATCTTCTCTGGAGCCCTCTTCATCCAGATGGCTTTGGGCTGGAACCTCTACCTCTCCACAGGGATCCTGCTGGTGGTGACAGCTATCTACACCATCACAGGTAGGGTCGAACCGGAGCATCAGAAAAAGCTAGAGAGGGAAGCTTCTGACTGGTAGACAGAGAGAAAGATTGAAAGATGGACAACCTGAGTGGGACAGAGAAGATCTGTCCTGAGAGAGAGATAGAGAAGAGAAAGAGAGTCAACTGGGGCCAAGGCAATGATACAGGACAATCAAAAAACCAGGGAACAAACTGTGGGACACAGTGGGACAGGAAAAGGGAGAGGAAAGGGGCAGAAATGGGGAATCCATACCAGACTGAGACCAGGAGAGATGTGAAGAGGCACTAGAAAAGACCACCTGCCCCACGGAGAGATTAGGAAGCTGTTGTCTGGGCCAGAGTTATGGTGAGCTGCCCCAGCAAATGCAGACAGGCCCACACTGTTTCCTCCAAAAGGTGTCACACAGGACGGGCACCTTGGGTCACCAGCATGGGACAAACAGACTTACTTAGGACTATGTTAGCCTTGAAAGCTGGGGGCATTTGGATAGACACCAGTTGGGAGGAGAAAGAACCAAGCATCCCTGGTTGAGCTAACAGCATAAGCAAAGGACAGGATTTGGGTCACTGATGACAGAAACCAAAAGCCATGGCATGATGGCTGTGGCAAGATATTGCCAGAGACAGGAAGAGCCACATGAACACACTGAAGTGTGGCCAGGCTCTGTCCTTCTGAGTGGGGTGCTTGGAAGTGCTAGATATAGAGAAATGCAGGTGACCAGAGCCACTGCTAAGAAGCCACTGTGTCTTCCCTGGCCTGCTCAGTGTAACCAGACACAGAGCAGGACCGATGTTGGTGCTGACTGATGTGCCCTCTCTTTGGATCACTAGGGGGCCTCACGGCCGTGATCTACACAGATGCTCTGCAGACAGTGATCATGGTAGGGGGAGCCCTAGTCCTCATGTTTCTAGGTAAGGAAGAGACCTAAATTCACTCACCATCAGCTTTAAATTCTTCCTCTGATTTATTTTTGGCACCTCAATGGCTTACCTGGAACTTTCCTGATCATAGAGTCACGCCCTGTCTCCAAGTCAGGGCTCCCAAAAGGCAGAATTCTCCCTACTTCAAACCAAAAGTCTTGAGCCTGAGCCCCATCTCCCTTCCTATCCCCAATCTTCAAGTGGGCTCCAACCTAGAGCCCCACGTGGGGCTGGGCACACAGGCTGGGTGGGTCCCAGGGATGTTCTCTCACTGCATCTCTTCCCACAGGCTTTCAGAAGGTAGGCTGGTACCCAGGCCTGCAGCAGCTCTACAGCCAGGCCCTTCCTAATGTCACAGTCCCCAACACCACTTGTCACCTCCCACGGCCAGATGCCTTCCACATGCTTCGTGACCCCGTGAGCGGGGACATTCCCTGGCCAGGGCTCATTTTTGGGCTCACAGTACTGGCTACCTGGTGTTGGTGCACAGATCAGGTACGATGACCAACAGACGTGGCCTGGCCCACCAGGAAGTGGGGTGGCTTCCTGCAGACAAAGAAGGCATTTGGATGCATAAAAAGTGAGCTTAATTTTGAGACTGGAGTAGGGGGACAGTCAGAGACCAAGGTCAGGGCTCACCCGTGGCTGAGCTGAGCTCCTTCCCTGGACCCGGATCAACATCACTCCATTGCTTCTGCCCTTCCAGGTCATTGTGCAGAGGTCTCTGTCTGCCAAGAATCTGTCCCATGCCAAGGGAGGCTCAGTGCTGGGGGGCTACCTGAAAATCCTCCCCATGTTCTTCATCGTCATGCCTGGCATGATCAGCAGGGCCCTGTACCCAGGTGAGAGTGAGCCTTCTCCCTGGGCCTGGGGAGTCAGGACTTGGGAGGGGTTTCCAGAGAAGGTGTTCCTGCGCAAGGTGGACCAGGGAAGCAAGCTTTTTCTATGAAGATCTCATTCCAAGCATTTAGAACTTAAAAGCCATTAAATAAGTATTTCAACAGAGTAAATTCAATGTTATTTCAAAATCCTCCTTCCTCTTAAAAAAAAGCAAGGCATTCTTGACCCCTTCCAAGAATATTTACTTTTATCAATGTATGTCATAAAACTCAAAGGAATCTATCCCATGTTGCAGAGCAGTATGCATCACAGACAAGAAATTCACCAAAGAGCCAAACTACTTGCCCGTTGACCTTTTAGACAAGGTCAGCATTTCCGGTGAAAATTTTCCTATAGTGCCAGAAAGCAAATATTGGGCCATCCTGAGAGGGGCAGGATCACAGCTCCAACTACTGCGCTGTCTTCTGCAGATGAGGTGGGCTGTGTGGATCCTGATGTCTGCCAAAGAGTGTGTGGGGCCCGCGTGGGATGTTCCAACATCGCCTATCCCAAGCTGGTCATGGCTCTCATGCCCATAGGTGAGTCCCATCTTGCACACTCCACTGTCTACTCCCACCTGGACCCCTTTGATGAGGAATTGTGCTACGGATGGAAGGGAAGAGGGAAGAGTTTCTGTACCCTGCATGTTACACACACACACACACACACACACACACACACAATCACACTTTCCCAAGCCTTTGTAAGGTGTCTGTTTGTGCCTGGTGTTGAAGATGTGAAGGGAGGAGGCAGGTCCAAGCCCTCAGACTTCACGCAGTGTCTAAGGTACCTGTGCTCAGTAAGGTACCTTACAGTGAAAGGTAACTTGGAAGTAAGGGCACAGCACAGGAAAAAAGCAGAACAGAGACCCAAAGAGCATTTCACACAGAGCCAGAGGGCATAGAACATGTTCTAAGCAGGAGGCATTGTGAGTGCCAACACCCAGGAGTGACAGCCGAATGAGAGGAGCCCAGTGTGAGCGCAGTGGCAAGGAGCAATGAAGATGACCTTCCTGAGAGGGTGCCACGGCCCAGCCTTGTTCTGCAATGGATTCTTCTCTCTGGGGACAGTAGAGGGCACTGAGGGTGGAGGCCAGAGCAAGACGGTGGATTTGTGCTTCAGAAGAACCACTCTGATGGAGGACTCAGCAAAGGTACAGGCTCTGGCAGGACAGGGGTGCATCAGGGAGATGTCTGCAGGTGGCCAGGGGCGTGGCACTGGTGGTTTCACCAAGGGATTGACCTTAGAGATGGAGAGAAGGTATTTAAAGATGTGTGTGAAGCTGTTAGCAGGATTGGGTTTACTGTATTTCAGGGGGCAGACGAGTCAAAGCAGGCTCCCGGGCCTCCACCTTAGAAGGCAGGTTTACAACACTATTAAGATTGAGGAGATGAAAGGCAACAGATGAGTGGGCCCATTCCCTCCTTATGGTAAAATGAGAAGTAAATCAAAGACACAGTGGAGATGGTGGGAGGCCAAGCTAGACAGACCAGTCTCAGAAGTGAGACCGAAGAAGGATGGGGAGAGGGGAGAGCCAAGGAAGGGGCCTAGGGTCCAGGGTTCTGCTGGGGGAGCCGGGAGGCATTAGTAACCGAGAGGGAGGCAGAAGGCCATAGGAAGGTGAGCACTTGTGTCTAGAACCTGAGTCCAAGATAGCTGTGAGGCTTCCAGCGTGACACTCAGGATGTGGTTAGATACATGGACTTTGGGGTAAAGAGGCTGAAGCGGGACCGGGGCAGGAAGGCATCTGTCCAGGTGAAAAGCAGGCCCAGAACATGCATGAAATGCATCCAAAGATCATCCACCTAGCGGGTTATTTGCACAGCCAAGAAACAGCCCCAAGCTTCTGCTTCCTTGTAGGACTTTAGCGGGACATTGCAAAGCGGTGGAACAAAACCCTGAAAAATGAGAAAGAGACACAAGGACCAGGGATATAACTCAGTGGCACCACGCTTGTCTAGCAAGCACAAGGTCTTGAGTTTGATTCCCAGTATGAGAGAGATAGATTGGGGTGGGGGTGGGGCGGAGAAAGAGAATACAAAAGAAGAAAAATTTTTAAAAGGCACTAGCCACAGCCTCCCTCCTCAGCTCCAAGACTCCGCTGATGGTCACTTGCTGTGAAGACAGACTTCGTTTTCAAAACTGCAGGAACCCTCACAGATCACTCAGTATCCTACACTCATGGTGCAGATGAGGACACTGAGGCCTGGCAGGGCTGTGAGCTGTCCAAGGCCACAAGGCAAGGGAGAGGCAAAACACGGCCAGAAACTGGCCAGGAGCTTTACAGGCTCCTGATTCCTTGTCTGTACTCGAAAGGAACCGTTTCCCCACCAGCCCAGCCCAAAGTCCTGGCTCTGCAGCAGCAGCCCCGCCCAGGCGGAGCTGGTCTTTAAGACCTGCTGTCTCTCATATCTTGTGTTGCTTACTTTGCTCTCATTGCGGGGACAAAATACCTGACACCCAAAATTGGGGAAGGAAAAGTTTATGTAGCTCACAGCTGATGGATATTAAGAGTCTGTAACCAGCTGGCTCCAAGGCAGGGTGGCAAGGCACAGGGGCAGCACTTCAGGGTGGCACTAGACAGCAAAGCAGCAAGAGAAGACAGGAGGAAGACAAAGACTGTGTTCCTTCCTCATGTTCTACGCAGGGCACCCCACCCAGGGCAGGTGTAGCACTGTGAGTCACAGAATTTCCTTGTCCTCCTCTTGCACACGATGAGGATGTTTACAAAATAAAGACCCTTCTAAGCTTCTCAAGTTGGCACAACGTATCAACCATAACACACGTCATCTCTTGCCAGGTCTGCGGGGCCTGATGATCGCGGTGATCATGGCGGCCCTCATGAGCTCCCTCACCTCCATCTTCAACAGCAGCAGCACCCTGTTCGCCATCGACGTGTGGCAGCGTTTCCGCAGGAGGGCCACAGAGCAGGAGCTGATGGTGGTGGGCAGGTGTGTGCGCCAGGCCTTGCATCTCCCGGGGGCGGGGCTCCCCTCTGCCCGCCCTGGGTTGCCCAGGAGAGGGGCTGGGGTTGGGCCGGAAGCAGCACCCAGGGCACTGCATGACCTCAGCCGCGCTTTGCCTCCAGAACACTCCTCCCCTGCAGAATAACAGGGAGAAGGCACTCTTGCCCGGCTTTGCACTCTCCCTTGCACTGCATCAGTGGGGTGATTGAGAGATGACAGAGCACTTGAGAAGTGAGAGGTGAAGAGTGTGAGGAGGAGGAAAGGAACTCACCCTGGGGCCTTTTGGGTCAACTCTTCCGGCCACCCCAGGATAATGGCGGTGTTTAATCCAATCCCTCAGGCTCACTCCAGATACACACCTCGGGCCACATCCTTGTGCTAGGAACCAGGAGAACCGGGGGAGGTTCATATCCTGATGAGCAGGACAGAAATGGGCATGTTACACAGCATTAGCACGGCACCTGCCTCAAGGGAGATGGTCACAGCGAAGTTGTCTCCAGATGATGCAGAGCCTTGAATGTTGCATGACAGAACTTGAACTGTACCTTGTAGGTATTAGTTACTCTTTTAAAATCATAACTGAGCAGTTAATTTGTCTTGTTCTCCATAGGCTGGGAATTTAGAGTCTGTGTAGAGCTAAGAAGAGATCCTTTGTAGGATCTCTGCTTCATAGTTTAAAGCTCCCTACTCAGGCCTCTAACCCAAGGCTATGCACTCTTGTTTTGACGGGTAGGAACTGAGCTCAGTCAGTTTGCTCTTGGAGTCTCCCTGCCTCTGCATTTGCCATTCCTATCATCTGGTGCCTTCTGCTGCCTGTTGATCTCTGCAGCCCAGCCCTAGCCACGAGCAGAAAGCCCCTGAGATCTTAGAGTAGGACAAGAGGAAGTTGAGACACGTGGGTAATTGCTGCTTTCTTGGAGCCTGAGAGAGGAAAAATAGGGGAAAAGAAGTGAGGACAAGTGTGCAGAGATTTTGGAAATGGTTTACAGGCACGTATTATCAGCAATCAATGGGATTCGGGCGCCATCTCCTGGCAATATGTATTATTGCATCCAGCACGTCCGAGAAAAAAAATGTTTCAAAACAAATTGTGCATCTCCAAATTCACACCTCCAGCGCCCTTTGGTGATTTAAGGCCGAGTAAGGATCAGTTTAAGTGGATCGAGCGAGAAGGTAGGAAAGGTCTGAGCTGAAGGAGCCTGGGGAAGGGAGAAGTCCCAGGACTGGGACCATAAAGGGACTGTGTCCTTCAACAGCCTGGAGGTCAGAGGAGGAAATACATCCCCAAGCAAGGCTGAAGGCCTTTTCCTAGGTCGAGTGCAGTGAAGCTGTGGGTTAGGGTGGACGGCATGATCGCCAAGAGTCCGGTACGCACATAACAAGTCTAAGTCTGTAGAATTCTGACTGTCTCACATTCAGAAATTCTGATTTCTGGAGTGTTGACAGTCGGAACTTCTGCGCCTGCACCATAGTATTTGGGATTATGACTTTCTTGCTTGTGACCCAGAGGCCTCTCTTGTCCCTTCTGGTTCCCACGCATCACCTTCAGGACACCCTGTGCCGTGTGCCACGCCACAACCCCCCGGCACCTGTGCTCTCCTGCAGGGTGTTTGTGGTGTTCCTGGTGGTCGTCAGCATCCTCTGGATCCCCATCATCCAGAGCTCCAGCAGTGGGCAGCTCTTCGACTACATCCAGTCTGTCACTAGCTACCTGGCACCGCCCGTCACTGCCCTCTTCCTGCTGGCCATCTTCTGCAGGAGAGTCACAGAGCCTGTGAGTGAAGCCTTTCCATCTCTTGCCCCCAGCTAGGGTTCTGGAGTCCTGCTCTGTCCCTCACCTGGTCTCCATCTGTGGGAGCAAATCCACAGCCCGCTCTAGGATTCCATCCTCCTGACCCTAGCATCAGGCCTGGATTCATTCACTCACACAGAAAACACTAAGCAATGGGATTATGGCCACTCCAGGGGTATAGTGGTTTACAACATTCACATAGGTCTGTCATGGCTGGGCCCTCAGAATCGAGAGATGATTTAGTAACCAATAATGATAAAGCAAAACGGCTACTGGGAGATTGAAATGCACAAATTCTAACTTACGAGTTTCCTGGAGTGAGGTCAGGGAAGGCTTCCTGGAGGAAATGGCATCTGAGCTGAGACCCGCAGGGCTAATGGCAGGAGGAGAGTGCTCCACACAAGAGGAGCATTCATGTGAAAGTGCAGGACAGACCAGAGGCCTCTGACTCTGTAGTGGTCTATATATAAATCAAATAATAGAGTGAGAATGTTGTTCGACACCCACACCAAACACAACAACAACAACAACCAAAAAACAGAACGAGGATGCTGATGACCAAGTGTGAACTCTCACAGGGGTTGGCCCCACAGGCACCATTCACACAACTGCCCTGAAACTGACAGAAGCCTTGGAGGAAGCTAGAAGACCAGAGACTTTCTTAGTTCTCAGGATGGACTAGGGAAGACAGCCCCAATCTGCTGGCTGTACCTTGGGACATCAAAGTAGTCTCTGGACTGATGTGAAAATTCGCAAGACCGATGTCAAGGTCATTGCAGAGGGGATCTTAGAGATTCCCCCTGGACAGCCTGGGTAGGTGATGTGTCATGTTTGCAGAATCTAATCTGAGTATGTGAGCTGTCTCCTGTTTGCAGGGCCCAGTTTCTCCTGCATGGTTCTGCTCATTTTAGACTGTTGAAGTCAGAATTAATAGCTCATTTTCAAAATACAGGTCATCTATACCTATTAGGGAAGGGTAGTGTAGAGACAATGCAACTATAATAAATGTGAAGTGCCAGAGATTTTCTTTGTTATGATAAATCCAAATTCTGACTTAACAAACAGCTTTGAAGGGGATCCAGGTACTCTTATCACAAAAACAGTCCATTCTATTTGAATATGGTACATCTATCACGTAGTACTGATGAACTTCTTTTTGCTTGCACGCAAGAAATTTCCGACCTAGTAAGGCCAAGCCATTGGCTCAGAGCCATTTAGAAAGGAGCCAGATTCACGTTCTAGGCCACCTCTGAAGCTGATAGCCTTTTTAACGCCCTGCTTTGTTGGTGTTTTCAGTTAAGACAAAGCCTCAATATTGCCAGGAAACTCACCAAGAAGGACTTGGCCAACACTGTAATCAGTCAGTGGAGGGAGCTTTGGGGAGAGCAGGTTTTAGCTTCCTGGTGTCCCCTCCCTCCAATCTCACCCCTACCCATGTCACCCTCTCTCCGTAGGGAGCCTTTTGGGGCCTCATGTTTGGCCTGGGAGTGGGCCTTCTGCGCATGATCCTCGAGTTCTCTTACCCAGCCCCAGCTTGTGGTGAGGTGGACCGGAGGCCAGCCGTGCTGAAGGACTTCCACTATCTGTACTTTGCCCTGCTTCTCTGTGGGCTCACTGCAATCGTCACTGTCATCATCAGCCTCTGTACGACACCCATCCCTGAGGAAAAGGCAAGTAGTGCTCTCATGATGAGCACCCATCCACCCTACGCGCTCAGGGTCTGCAAATCCACCACTGGCCTTTACCCTCATGAACAATGGTGTCTCCTGCTGCCACATAGACATCCTTGGGAGCTGGGGCTCTTTGGAATGTGAATTTCCAAGTGAAAAGACATTCAATTTAAAAATTACTCAGAGGTACACACTGTGTACCAGGCACTGTGATAGGCTTACAAAGACAGATGGTTCCTGTCAGCAATTGTCCTGGGGCAGGGAGGAACAGACTTCAGCACCCAACATTAATATGCACAGGGAAGGTGCAGGGGTCCCAGGCTCAAGGGGAGGGGCCAAACTCAGGAGAGAGGTGGTCTTCACCTGGGGCCCATGAAAGGGAAAAGTAGAGGTTTATTTAATGGTCAAGAACCAAGTACACAGAGGAAAAACAGAGTGTGCTGGATCAAGAGTTCTATCTTGCCTGCCTTGAGCTGACAGATGTACCCATCTTAGAATGTTGAAACCCAGTCTTAGGAAGTTCCTTCCCCCAACCCAGAGTCTGAGTTAGTTTCCTAGGGCTTCCATAAGTGAGGACCATAAACTGTGGCTTAAGCATCTCTCAACTCTGGAGGCTGAAAACCTGAGCCCAAAGCGTCAGGAGGCCCAGTGTGTCCAGGAGTCCCTCTTGGGGGCTTGTCCCTTTTGTGTCTTCACGTGATCTTTGCTGTGTCTGCCTGAGACCTAAACTCTTTTTTAAGGACACCAGTGATGACGGATTAGCGTCCATCCATATCCCCCCATTTATCTTAATTATGTTTATACGGTTTCTATCTCTGACTGCGGTTGTGTCCTGGGGTACTAGGGACTAAGACTTCAGTACGTGAATTTCCAAACCTTGAGGTTTGCACGCCTGCAGGCACTGCCTTCAAACGTGATCTCCTGCTGCTGAGACCTCAAGGTCTCCACGTCTGCCTTGTCATGCTTCACACTGAGGTTTCTCCTTGATCCTGTCCTCTGGTGACTGCCACCTCTTTCTTCTCCCATCAACTGTAACCTCGGTGAAGTGCGGCCTCCATTCCCACCACTTGTCTACTTTGCAACCCACCGTGCTCTGGTGTTGTCCCCAGAAGGCCACTGAAATTGTCCTCATTGAGGTCACTTACAACTTTGGGTTGGTAAAAAATCAGTGGTCATGTCTCTTCCTCTGCCTTCCCCACTGCCTGTTGTACCGGAAGACCTCGCTTCTAGTCACTTCTAAGATGCATTTTCCTCCTGTTTGCCTTTTCCTACACTTCTGATCACTCTTCTGACTTCGAAGGCTTTTTTTTCTGCCCCCTTAAACATCATTTTTTCTTAGGAGCCCGTATCTGCATATAACCCTTCTGGCTCTCAATGCCCTGGGGCTGCCAATTCAACAACTTTCTGTATAAAGCAACACTCAGTTCTCTATCTCCAGCCCAAATCCCTCTCCCAAGATTCAAACTCCACATCCATCTGTCTCTTAGTGACATGAAGTCAAGGTCTGTGTGATGCTACTGACTCACAGTGTGAGAAGAAAGTAGGGTTTATGGAGAGATGTGCACAAGTAAAGAAGCTGCCCAGGCTCTCACAGAGAGGCATGCCTGGCCCTGGCCCCTCTGGACACAATTGCAAGTTGGAAGTTGGGACGGGGCGGAGATGATTGTTACAAAGGCCTAGCCAGGGGAAGAGCCCACTCCTGGCCTCTGGGGAAGAGAGATGTTTCAGGGCCCAGGTGCTCACGGCTGACTCCAGTGCCACTCACATCAGCTGGAGAATTTGTGTGCTTTGTCTGCAGGGCAAACATAAAGAGAGGAAAGGGCAACCTGAGGGACACAGATTTGTTTCTCTTCACTGGATGTCTCCACTTGAAGCTGATGCACCCGCTCATCGTCACCTTGTAGTTATGTGTGTAGATGTTCCCTTTCTCTTCTCTCAGCCTTTTTGATAAGCACCAGAATCTTCTTCTATGCTGAGCCTTCTGTCCCTGGGAGGGACCCTGCTATCCTCTGGTCATCCATGGCTGAACTCAAGAGCAGCCTGAGAGGCCTGCCCCCCCTCAACCCCCAGCTCATTCAATCAATCACCTTGTCCTGCAGATTTTACCTCCCTAGTATCCCTTAAGACTGCTCCTCCCACCCATTTCCTCATGCAATCTTTCTCACTTTACCTGAATATGACTCCTGGCCTCTGACCCCAGCCTGATTCTTCGTATACTTTGCTGTGGCTCTGAAGCCGCCCATGCATCGGGCCTTCCTCCACAGCAGGACTTTCTCCAAATGCACTGGTTCCAAATGGTATTTTCTCTCTCTCTCTAGCTCACTCGCTTGACCTGGTGGACACGAAACTGCCCCACCTCTGAGCTGGAGAAGGAGGCCTGCGAGAGCCAGAGCGAGAGGGAGAGTGTGCCAGGGAGGTCTGAGAGACTGGGCCAGGAGAGCCTCTCAGGAAGAGTCGCCCCAGGGAACTGCAGCCAGGGCCCAGAGCAGCCCGGAGGTAGGCTGAGGGGTTTCTGGGGAGAGTGTGCCACAGAGGAGCAGTAGGGGTGGTCACCATGTCCTGGGTGTCCCACAGTCCCTCTCAGGGCTCATTGGAGATGGATGTCTCTGAGACAGCCCCCCAAATATTTTTCCACATGACTATTGAAATGTTTGCAAATTAAGACAGCTGAGTATGGCAGACGGGAGCCAAAATATTGCCCTCACTACCAATAACATGTCAGTGGGAAGGTTCATTTCATATCAACTAATATTAGACAGAGGTGCCCATCTAGTCACCCACAGATCTGACAAGAGCACAGCCAGCCTCCCGTGAGGATGGGTGGGGCTGAGACAAGCCGTGTGCCTGTGGAGTTCCCTTCACACAGAAGAAAATGTCAACATGATACAGAAACACCCTCGTCCCCACCCCTACTGACTTGTTTCTTTCTCATTGGGCTTAACATTCCTGCCTGTCATCTCAAGGAGCATAGCTGTCCCCATGGGAAGAGCACAGCCAAGTGTGCCCTCCTGAAGTTGCCCAGTGCAACCCCCACTTCTCTGTGTGTCTCCTTGAAATGCTGATGGCCGTATAAACAGTCTCCCAAAGATTCTGAAGTGCGTTAAGATAGCACATTAACTAAATTACTATACTGTTGGATGTCTTTTGGACACTACTCAGTTGCAATCTTCCTGTAGGGAGATTAAATAACAATATTAAGGCATTCTAAAGATAGAAGAGCATAACAGAGATTTTTCAATTATAGTGTTCCCAAGGAAAATTTTTAAATCCAAAAAGTAACATACAGTTTACAGGTTTAAGTCCAAAATCAATTTATCTTGGCCTTATAAATTAGAAATTCAAGGAAATTTAAATTCTACATTTCTTTCCTGCTTCAGTTAGATAGTGTCCCAGTGCCTGGTTGGAGTTGGGGTTCTCTGGACAGCTACTTTCTCCCATCAGACTGGATGAGCTGTCTATTCTCTCTCCCAGTCTTTGGAGCACCAAACTTCCCATAATTCCAGTGAGTTAGGTGGACAGACAGAGTTATCGAAGCATCTTTGCTGGACTTGCATGGTTGGCAACACTCTGCCACTCTGTCCTTGTGCTTTTGCTAGTTTCTGGGACCTGTGCTGCCCCCAAGGTCCAAGGGGTTACCACTATTCTTGGAGGCCCTTACTCTAGACAGCGATAAGCCTGGCATTAATGATGTCCCAAACTCCAAAACCTCATCAGGACCTAAAGCTCAAAGCTTCTTGCTCACGCTGCAACAGTTAAGTCCGTAGTCCACTATAAAAAGCTGTAGATAGCAAGTGTGAATTCTTACAAATTTGTCTGCTCAAAACACACTTGGACTGACTTCCGAAAGCACACCCGTGACTGGCTCACCCCCGCTCCCAGTCTTAACAGGGCACCAAGTAGTTAAGGCCTATTTTCCTCTGCAAAATGTAGCCCTTGTCTCTTTGACAAGCTTCATGGCGCATGCGCCAGGTGTGTGTGTGTGTAGAGGGGGCTCAAAACTACTTCCTGCCATCACTGCAAAGACCCAGCTCTGGCCGCGTCTAAAGCTTGTGGAATGGGAAAAGAAGCCTGTGAGCCTGAACTTAGTACAGGAAAAGCAGCTAACCGGAGAGGGAAGAATGACTTCAACATGTCTCCTGGAGACAAAGAAGAGGTAGCAACTGTACTGCCCCCCTGGAAGCCAGAGCTAGACTGACTTACAAAGACTCAGCACCAGCCCTCTTCTCTGCTACCCGCACTGCAGGCCAGAGCCATTCCTAGAGGAGCAGGGAAGGATGAATGCTCCCTGTGGGTAGAGGCACCCAGGGAAGGAAAAGGAGGCACCTGGAGGACCAGAACCCACGCCAAGCCTGACCAGACATCCTGCCACAAGGAAGAAGCTTCATTGGGTGGGAGTGGGCTGCCTTGTGGACCACGACAGCCACTGTTTGGCTTGGGGAAAGGGTTTTAAAGGGTTGTTCTTGGGAGGGGTCTCTGCGGGTGACCCAGTTGCGAGCAGCAGAATGTGACAGAGTCATCATCAGCTACCCTCCTGGGTAGGGTTGACTTTTGAGGCTGGAACAGTTCTGAAAAGTTTCTTTTCTTGCAACCCAAGCATGAATATGCTCCGGGGGGAGGCTGACCCTTTAGCACTGAGTCAACCATAAAGCCTCAAGAAAGAATTCCACGCTCCATGTCCTTCTATCACAATCCCCATTGCAGAGGGCAAGCCTACCTGCTGTGGGAGAAGTCCTTCCCGCCCTGGAACGAAGTGAGCATCGAGAACCTGGAAGACCCACATCCACTCCTCTGGAGGCCTGCAGGTTGATATAGGTCATGCAGTCTAATTTCGAGTCTTAAAAAATTTAAAGGACAATAAATAGATCTGAAAGATATATATATATATATATATATATCTCCTCGGTCCTAGATAGGTGCACATTTATTGAGTTGTTGCACACTGATTTATACCTACTTGGTGATGTGGGCTCATTGCACCTCAGAGGACCACTGTGAGAATCTAGGGAGGAGGTTTGGATTGGCTTTAAAATGATAATTCTCAGCGCAGACATCACTTGATAGAGATCTCACGGGAGCTCTGCAGCCAAGTCACCTGAAACAGCTCTCCCCTCTTTTGTGAGCCATTCTGGACCTTGGTGCTGGACAGTCCTCGCAGAGGAGGAAGTTCAGCCTGAGGGTACCCAGGCTTCCTGCGTGTCTGAAATTGTGAGGCTGCACTGAACTCACCAAGTTCCATATTTCAATGCTATTCAGATCAAATCCTCACTCTTGACCATTGCTTTCCATCTCCACGGAAGGCACTTTCCATTAATTTTATACTTAATACACTGTCTAACTTTAAAGTCCTTAAAAAGACTTGCTTCCTTTACTGCTTCTTTTAAACTTAGTGTTAGGAGCAGTGCTGCCTGTAGCCTTGCGGTGGCACCCTGCACACTGGGGAGCTTTCCTCTCTGTGACACTACATTCACCAGTGCCTCCCTCTCTGCTCCCGCACTGAAAGCTGGTAAAATGCTATCAAATCTCCACTCTCCTTTAGTGCTCGGAACAGCCCTGAGAACAGGCATATGTCACTGAAGCATTTGAGGGAGAAAGAACATGTTGCTCAGAAGACTAGTGAGACTTACAGATGGGCACACAGTCTGCTGAGGTCAGAGCTGGCCCTGGAGCCACGTTTCTGACCTCTGGCACAGTGCCCAGCCCCACAGCAGGGCAAAGGTCTGGTCTGTCTGGCTTGAAGGTCCCCTGCCTCCTGAAAGAGACAATGCTCCTCCCCTCCATTGTCATTCTGGACTTGATCTCTGAATTGTGGTGAATTACACTACCCTCTCTCCCCAACACCCTGCCCCGCTCCATGCCACAATGACGTGCTCCTGTGTGGTAACCATGACTATGCTGCGGCCAAGGCCAGAGCTCAGCTGGACCTGTGGTTTGTGCAAAAGGCCCTTCACACTCCCCGCTTCGTTTTTTCACCATCTCCTTCCCGCTCTCTCACCTCTTCCCTTTCCTCACTCTCTCCTCACCTCTCCCCTCCTGCTCCTCTTTTGTTTCTGGCTCTGTATCCCCAGTCTCCCGCAGGTCCTGGGGAAAGCTGCTGTGGGGTTGGCTCTGTGGGCTCTCTGGAACCCCAGCACAGGTCCTGAGCCCAGCAGAAAAGGCATCTCTGGAACAGAAGCTGACCAGCATCAAGGAAGAACCACTCTGGAGAAGCATCTGCAACATCAATGCCATCCTCCTGCTGGCCATCAACATCTTTCTCTGGGGCTATTTTGCATGACTCCACAGACTCAGCTTCAGCCAAAATGAGCTAAACACAGCGCAAGCCCAGTCGGGTGCAGAGACAGGCTCTCTTCCTACCCTGCCCTGAACTGGAGACCATGGAGGCTGAGCATGGCAGAGATCCATCGAGCGTTAATCTGACATGTTCCACAAGTGGAGAATACAAGGCCCAGAAAGAATTCTGGGTCTGCCCAAGGCCACAGAGCAGCGCTCATTCTGGGCCTCCCAACTCCGGATCCTGTACCATTACACTGCCTTACGTTCTTACCTCGTAAAGAGCTTCAACCCTCTTCCTGAGTTTATTCAGGAATCTTTACTGTACATGTGACTTGAGGTTAGAAAAATGGAGGATACAAGAAAGATAACAGGAAAAATTTGTGAAACTCCAAGTGCACCTTTCTCCTCCAGCTCCCCTAACCTCTCTTTCTCTAATTTTCAGCCCCAGGTAATCTATAGCATGAATCTACCAAGGACAGACTTACATTTCCATTGGTGGCTCTGTCAGAGCTGTTAGACCAAAAAGAATGAGGGGTTAAGGGGGGCACTGCAGGGTGATGGCAGGTGGCATTTAGAGCAGGCAGCTCTTGGACAAGGCACTCTGATGGGCACTATTTAAACGTTGCTTCTTCCTACCTTCAAACCCAAACCTGTGTGGAATCTAACAGTCCAGTTGAGAGCCATAACTGTGGAAAGGAAGAGGACTCAAAGCCTTGAAGGTCAACCCTGCAGGGTCAACAAGGACAGCTTCAGAGCCACAGCGTGGGGTGCTTTGCCACTCCTTTTGCCACCCCAACCTCTGCCACCCTGGAATACACTGAAACCCATCTAAGTATTGGACAGGATGGTGCCCAGCCAGGAAGCTGTCCAATGCCCCAAACTGGGTTAGGGTCCCACTCTTGTTCGCATAGCCCCATGGAACAGCTTCTACAAGGTACTGGTCATACCAGCAGTTGTGTTTTCTCCCCCTAGATGGTGTACTCCAAGGAACAGGCACCAACTACTATGTCCAACTTGACTATGTTCCCCAAAATAATATATACCAATAAATGTTTGTTGAATGAATAAATTGTTCAGTGTCCTTTTGTGTTTTGCACTGTGGCTGGCAGGGCAGACCTAGACCTGCTCAGGAGTCACTGGAAGGTGGAGAAGAAATATCTGAGTGTCAAGTGTCTAGGCTGTCACTACAGCCCGGGCCCTCTGGCAGACCCAGATGGAAATGGTTCTCCATTCCTTGAGCTCAGTGGGCTTGCTCAGTTAAAGGCGCACGCGGGGGGCGGGGGGGATTCCTATAACCCTTTTGTTCATTTTCTCCTAATAGAATATGAAAGCTTTGGACCATCACTCCGTGTGGGCTGTGCATAGGTTTTTGAGTCACATGTATCTGATGAAGAGAACCCCAGAGCCGCCTATGCTAGTGCGTTCCCTCCATTCCTCTTGGTTCATTGCAGAGCCCCTCTGATGAGGTCTCCCTGGTGAGCAGGCTGATGAGCCCTATGCTTCCCCATCGCCCACGCTCAGACCTCTGACCCCATGCAGCCTCACCCCACTGGGCCACAGGGACTGCAGGCACCACTGAGCACTCTTCCCTCTTATTGGCCACACTTGCCCATGTCCACCGTTTCCAACCAAGGAACTTGAAAATAACTCAAAGGAATCATTTGACCCCAGATTATGAGCTCACTCTTTACTAAACTGTTTCCTTCTTGAAGGAATAAGTCACAAAACAGGAAGCTGCCTCAGGAAACATGAATTTGCCTAGGAGAAGTGTAGGAAGACTAATACCATGGGTAATTTTAAGAAACCCTCACATTTATCTTATGAAAGAGCATTTCCACATCCGTTTTCTCATTTGGTTTTCCAAACCATTCAAAGATGTTAAATCCTCTACTAATGAAGAAAAGAACCCAGAGGTGAAAGGATTTGCTCAGATGCTGTCACACTGGAGGCCAACTGGTCCTCAAACTCAGACCTCTGACCCCGTGCAGCCCCACCCCACTGCATTGCTCATGTGAGCAGCACGCTTTGCTGCTGGATTCAAATGCTATGCTTTCCCAGCTTAGGGAGTAACATGAAAGTCAACGATAGCTCCAATAGAGCTCAGCCAACAAAGTAAAGCAAGAAACTAAGGAAATGATTGCAAAGCATTGCAGTGAAGACTGAAACTGAAGGAAGAAATACACCTACTTAAGGAAAAAGGAGAAAGAGATGAAGAATTACCTGGTATAATTGGAGACTAATTCATGAAAAAGAAGTGCACATTAAATTTTGACATTTATTCTGTTTTTGAACAGAGTTAAACAAAATGAATTCTAAACCAACAAACAACCAACACCCCAGAAAAACAACAGCAAAACAGTACAAAGCAAGACATGTAGCTGAGAAAAAGCCACTGGGAAAGCCTCTCATGGGACAGTGACAAAGACCAGAAGGAACATCTCAGGCCCCACACTGAGCTGAGGATGAGGCCATGCTTGCAGATGAGGCTGTACCTAGAGCTGCTGGATCCCCTCTCCCACACAGCTCCTGGCTTCCTGCCTGCAAATGCATCTTGCAAACAGTCAGACTCCCTCAGAGGTAGTGGCAGCTGGCCCTGAGCTGGATTCAAATGGAGGTGAGTGGGCAGAGGATGCAACCACAGCACAGAGAGCAGGAAAGAGTGGGGTCAGGTCTCCAGACTTTCCAAGATGGACTAAACCTGTAAGTGATGCAGATGAGGGTACACTGACCTGAGGGTGGAGAGAAAGGAAAACACAATCAGAAGAAACAGGAGGAATTCCTTCTATTTCAGTCACCCATCATGGTCCAGGAGGCACAGGGAAAGGACAGAGCTCTTAGCAAAAGCGACCACAGCAACAGGAGTCCACAGGCATTTGCTACTGTAATACGCCAGTAAGAGGTGCCACATAGGCACTGCCCTGCTAGAGGTCAGGAGTTTTAGGTGTACTAGGAGCTGGTGAAGCCCAGTGTTCTTCTAGATTGTCCTTGGAAACAGTGTCTCATTTCCTGCACCGCTTCTGTGCCTGTGACTCAGAGGTCCCCTGGCCGGGCTGGGGAAACACAGGGTGCTGCTGCACAGGGAGAGAAGTGGCTCAATGCACCCAGGGAATGGTGTGATCACACCTGTCCTGGGTCCTGCTGCTGCACCTTCCTGGGTCCCCACTGTCTCAGTGAGGTGGGATCTTTCCCAGGTCCACAGGTAACTGGGCAAAGTTTTAGTGGTGAGCCCTGCCATGGTCGTGGCAGGGTGTCCAGTAAAACACTTCGGTGGGTTTCCTCCTGGACCCTCACTGCAGACTTCTCAGTGAAGTTCCACAGACGCCCTCTTCCAGCTACAAGCCGGCTTCCACATGTGGAAGGGCTCTGTGGTCATCTAAGAGCACAGCTGAGGCTCTGCACCTCTTCTGTAGAACCAAATCCCTCCTGAACATGTGCTTTCTTTCCTCCTCCAGTTTGCCTGTGTGCACTGCACACTGGGAGTGGGCCCAGCTGGGCCTCAGGGCTTAAGGAGCTCCACATGCCAGGACCTTTGCTGTGTTATCATCCAGGCAAGGAAGGGCACTGCTGACTATGTCACAGGCCAGGAAAACGGCCCTCAAGAGAGAGGGGCTCTGCAGGGATGCAGGGTGCTGCCTTCCCAGTGCAAAGCCAGTCTTGTGCCAGGTGGGCAGGGCCCTGCCGGTCAGCACTCAAGAGTCCCCATCACCTGGGCACTTCCTCAGTCCCTTCCTCCAGCAGGTATGTAGAGTCCTCCCCACAGGACCAGGGGCTCTGCCAGGGGTTCTGGGCTGCTGCTGGAGAGAGCCTCTGGGAGCACAGCACAGTGTGAGGACTTAGCTCCACTAGATGTTCACTTGAAATAGAGGGACAGTTCTATTTTATGTTACAATAAAATTTTATTAATGTTTAACAGAAAATAACTACAGATAAATGAAACCAGGAAAAAAAAAAAAGGCAACATTTCCAGGGGAGGGAGGGAGACTTGCAATTGAAGTCCTGCAAGGTGAGGTGGTCTAAATTGTCCTGCAATTGTCCTGATCCCTGGTTGGGATCAGCCACTAGAGGGGAGAGAGAGGGAGAGTCAGGTCAGGCTGGCCAGTTTCTGCCTGTCCAGCTCTGCTCACACCATCCCCCATAGCTCCACTCCTGGTCCCTTCCAATGGGCGCCTCTGTGGAAACAGTTGTGGCCCTAGAAGTGGTAGGAGAGCGACAGGACAGAAAATTCCTGGGAGACCACCCTTGTTTGTGCCTTTCCCAAGGTACAGCAGCCCACTTCCTGCCAGAGAAGCCCCAGGCACTGACCCAAAGCAAGACCCCGTCCCAACCCTTGTCCAGCCCCATCGGTGGTCCCATCCTCTTCCTTTGCCCCTGGCCAGTAGCAGCCTCTGGAAACTCCTCCTGATGGAACCAGCATGACTTTGCTGCACTCTCACCACCCACAGTCACTAACCCCAGCCTCCTACTCACCTCTGGAAGGGATCCCTCTTAGCAAACTCTAAGTTAGGCCTAAGTCTGCCCACTTGCAGGATGATGTCTGAATCTGGAAGGTTCAGTAGGGCATAGTCCATGAGCTGCTTGAGGCTGGCCATGTCTGGGCACTGGTAAAAGTCTCCTGGGTATTGAAGAAGCCAGGTCTCCAGGATGGAACTCAGAGCCCTAGGGCAGGTGGGCAGGAGTGTCAAGAGCCTGGCCTCTCCCCTGTCCTAGGCCCCTGTCATGGAGCCTGATGGGAGCACTGTTCGCCATAGCCCACCCTGCCAGCCAGAAGCTGGGCATAGAGGGAAGAGGTGTAGGGACCACATGTGAGTCTTCTGTGTCCCACAACTCCTAGGCAGCCTCCATCCTGCATGCCGAGGTTTCTCTGGGTTGAGAATGGACTGCATGAAGGTGTATCCACACAGGGACCTGCTGTACACACAGATGCATCCTCACAAAGACCTACTCTGTCCCCAGACCAACCCTGGGGGCCTCCTTCATGCACAGAACTCTAAGCACAGATGTCTGTTTTGCAGCACCTGGAGGCTCAGCCTCAGATCCAAGCCCTCTAGTGGGAATCAATGAACACTGAGGGACCCTGGTTTTTCTCAGCTCGCCCACACCCCAGTTCCTCTGCAACCCACTTTGGGGACAGGACTCTTCCATCCCTCTTAGCCCAATGGCCTCTCACCTCTTGTTCTGCTGGTCCTCCTCAGAGTCCGGGAGGAAGGAGGGGTACCTAGAAGAGACAGCAGAGTGTGACCTTTGAACACTCACTGTCCTGGCCTCCCAGGAGGTCTAGGGGAGTATGAGACTGTGTGATGGCAAAAGAGGCTGGGAAACCTGAGAGGTCCCTCTGCGCTGCTCCCTGAATGACAGAGAAACCTCAGGAAAGCTACCCGTACACAGTAGGTGCTGTGTAGACATCTGTGCTGTGGGTGATCCAGCCAGTTGTGCCCACATCTCAAGACTGCACCTGGGTGCTGAGACCCGCTTAAAGGTCCCCGCTCTGTGTTCCTCTAGGCAGGAACCTAGGAAAATCAAGTTCCATCTAGACAGTTCCTTCAAGGGGCAGATTGGGGATACCTTACAGATCCAGGACCCCATCTCTTACCCAGAGCCGGACCTAGGTTTACTGTTCTGGGGCCCCGCCTATTTGGTTGAATAAACCATGTGAACAGGAGTCCTCTGAGTAAAGCATTATCCTCAGGGAATATTAGGGTGCAAAACGTTTCAGGGGGTTCATCCCCAAGAGCTTCCCAATGGTCCAGGGCCCCATGACTTGGAGGTAGAGCACACCTGAGGAACAGCAGATCTAGCACCTGCTGCAGGGTGGCGAATCTCCTGTAGATGGCCAGGAAGGCAGGCACGAAGAAGTGGTCCCCGCGCAGATGGGCGGGCACCAAGTTGTTCACCAGCTTCTTCAGCATGTCTGGCTCCATGCTCCCCACCTTGCCAGCATCCTCCAGCTTTGGGCTGGACTTCTTTGAGTCCTGAGGTGACAGTGAGAATGGAGTGTTCAGGCTTGGAAACACTAGCCAGCTCTAAAGAGCTCAGCCCCCATGTGGATCAGCTGCCAAAGGCGTCCCCTGGTTTCACACCCACTAACGCACACTGCCCCACACACCAAGGAGGCAGGCAGGGTTCTGGGCTCACCCAGCTGACTCTGACCTGTTGGGGGCTCTCCTGTGTCATGTTGGGGGTTCTGGGGTCGGGGTGCTCCAGGCTCTGGGGCTGACGACTGCCTGAGCCTTTCAGCCTTCGAATAAGACCCTGTTTCCACCAACTCTTGCGGCCTGAGCCTTCGCGTTTTGGGAAACAGCAAGAAAACATCCTCCTGGTTGTTGAGTCTCTCTACCAGTAACTGTAGGCATCCAGCCTTGAGAGTTCTAGGTTCTGTTAGGCGCATTGTCAAAGAAGTGAGGTCACTTCCTAGTGTTCCCCTCCCCTACCTGCTTCTCCCATGTCCCCTACAAAAGATGGATGACCCTTCCCAACCTGCTAGTTGCCAAACTGGAAACACTCAAACTCAACACATCCTGCACTATTATCCTTGTGTAGACCCTAGCTTCTCTTGGGTAGAGACAGCTCTTAAAGAACCAGGCCCTCCTTCTTTGTAGTGAAGAAGGGGCTGTGGTGCTCAGGCCACTGATTAGAATTCTTTTCTGGTGAAGGTTTCAGCTAAAGGCCAGTGTGATGTTTAGGTCTCTGGTAAGGTGCAGAGTGAGGATCAAGGCATGTCCTTGAAGTAGGGTTGAACACCTATCACATCAGGTTGGTGTAGGAAACTAGCACCTGGTTAGGTTGACATCTATTATGTATAGTTCAGAGTTAGGATCCTGTGTCATGTGTGATTCATAGGGCTAGATATATTAGGTTTTGTTCCCTGCTAATTTTACTGCTAGTGTTTTTGTTAGTGGCCATGTCATATATTTTTTAATCACCAAGCACATTGTGAAGAAAATTTTATTGGAGTATGAGGAAATGTAATGTTAGGATTTTTAGGGACAGGTGCTGAGGATGTAAGTGGCAGGGTTATTTTAAGGATTCAGGTGAGTTTTGGTGATAGGGTAAGAGTGAGTGTTGGGTTTAGAGTTAGTTCAAGAGTTAGAATGATGATTAAGGTTAGGGTTAGTGTTAGGCTTTAAGAGCATCATCATAGTGTTCAGGATTCGGGTTTAGGTTACCATTGTTGTTAGTAGTTAGGGTTAAGGTTAGGTTAGAGTATTAGAGTTAGAGTCTATTTTCGGTTGGGCTTCAGGTTAGGGTAAGTGTTAGGTTTGAGCCTGTCCTTGGAATTTGTGTGTAATTTCAGTCAGTGTTGGTTTTGAGATTGGGGTTAGTGTTAAGTTTTGGGATTAGGAGCAAATTTTGGGGTTAGAGTTTGCAAATATGTTTGGGGTTTAGGTTTTGCATGAGTGTGGCAGGTCTAAGGATTAAAGTGAGCATAAGGATTATGATGAGGATCAAGGTTAGGATGAGGATTAGATTGTATTTATGATTTAGGGTAAGGATTTAGAGTTAGATTCAGGGTTAATTGTAAGGTTAGAGTTAATGGTTAGCTTTTTCTTTTGAGATATGCTTAGAGTTAACATTACAGTTGGGGTTTTGTTAGAATTAGTGTTTTGAGTCTGCTTCAATGTTTAGGTTTAAGGTTAAGTTTAGAATAATGATCAGGGTTAGCTTTATGCTAGAGGGACAAGGTCAAACTTTACCTTTAAATTTAAGTTTAAGATTATATTAATTGGTTAGTATAAGGATTAAGATTAGCATATCGATTAGCATATCAGGTAATCCTAGGTATAGTAATGAATTTGGCAGTGTACTTTCTTTACAATTAAAAAAAAAACTTGGAGGGGCTGGGGATTTAGCTCCATGGAATAAGCGCCTGCCTTGTAAGCAGACAGTCATGAGTTCGATTCCCAGTACAGATAAAAAAGGAAAAAAGACAAAAAAAAAAAAAAAACCTGGAAAAAGTTTGACACTGGTTCTTGTAGAAGACTACATGGATTCACCACCTTGCGTACCGAACAATCACAACAATATTAGTTAAATCAAGTCTTATTTCCATATACTGTTATGTACAGAGCCGGCTATGGTATTGCCTTCACTCTTCAATTGCCTTTCAGCAGTGCAAATAAGGACAGCTGAACTGATAAGTAATCTTTGAAGTCTGTCTGACAGTGTCCTGTTTTCTAAAATAGTGCTCTCTGTAAAAGATCTGAGCACAGCAGGATGGCAGAGCCACTCAGTTCCAGGAATGTCAACTGGGTGTGAGTCTCAAAGTAAGAGATTATGGGTCTCTGGGGTATAAATGTTTATTTATCAGAAACAGAAGCACCAGCCTCCTGAATTCATTCATATGCTATCCCCATTAAGTTATTCAGACTGGTCTTTCTGCTTATCACCTTGCATATTGCAAAGATGCTTTTTGTCTACTCCTTCTTCACAAGATAATTAAGTTCTGGGAGAGGCCTTGAATCAAGGCCTTTGCACATCCACATTGAGTTGGATTTAGGACCCCTTGACTGCCCTTATCTTTGCATATGTGTTGGTGTCATTACTCTAGCTGTGGGTTGCATTGGAAGTGGTTGATTGAATTAACTTGCCAAGATGCCAATGTCTGAATAGGATTACAAATATAACTTTTTAGATTGAGAGGAAGACTGGAAAAGGATTACAATACTTGGATTACAATATTTGATATTGAGATTACATTAGGTTTTTACATGATTTCCTGGTAAAATCCTTATTTAGTTTCATTTTTATTGATATTCATTTTAAGATTTGTAATTTCCTTCTTCTACTAGTGTTGAATTTGGAGGGTGCTTGTGTTTTTAGGACCGTAAATCCTATGTTATCTATTTCAGATGATTTATTTATTCAGTGTGAGCTTTAACAGTCATGAAATTCCCTCTTTCAGTGGTTTTCATTGTGTCCCTTAAGCTTGGAAAGTTGTGCTCCCATTGTCATTTGACTGTGGGAATTTTAAAGGTTTTTCCCTGGCATTTTCTTGGACTGCTTGATTGTTCAAGAGTGTATCGATTAATCTTCATATACTTGCATCATATCTGTGGTTAACTTTGTTGTTAACTTCTGGTTTTATTCAGGTGTGATCCATTAACATTCAGGGTGTTTTTGCAGTTTATTTGTGTTGATTTTACTATGTTTTATGGTCATAGATGTTTATACCAGAAAGTTCATTGTGCTTCTGAGAAAAATGTGTATTCTACTTTTGGGTAAAACACTGTAGATATGTGCCAAGTCCCTTTGTTTCATGGCACCAAGGTGAGTTGGCATTTTGTTTTGGGAGCAGTTGAAAGTGAAAATTGAACAGGCATGCAGGGCTGCCACATGGCCTGCCCAATCTGAGATCAAAGAGATGCTTCAAAGGACAAGATAAGGTCACAGCTGAGGACACCTGGCTCCACCTCCAATTCACTAAAGACTGTAGCTGCAGGCATCTCACTCCTGTACTGAAATGCAACATGGGGAGCTTCTCATAAGATAGTTCTCTTAATTTAAACAAAATTTATTATTTGGTAACGTCCTTGAACCACTCCCAAGTTCTGTTCAGTTTCCTGGGTTTTCACTCTAACTCCTTCATTAGGTACTAATTAAATATGCCTGCCCAGAGACATTCCTTGTCTTAGCCAGCAGAGTCTGATACATGGCAGAGGGCTGTGATCCTCCTGGAGCCCTAAAACCATACGACTTATCTCATTCATTTAAGCCTGCACAGTAGACTTATGTGGGAGATTGGGGATCTAGGCCAGATCCCTGCTAGGCATTGTCTCCTGTTCTCCATTTTCCTTACACTCCTGTACTCAGCACCAAAATGAGTGAATGTGACCATGTGACTCAAAGACTTTATAAATGGTTGCTGTGCACCAGATTCCACTCTAGGACCTTTATGCCTGAGATAATTCAGATTCTCAGGGAGCAGTAATTATAGTATTTAGGACCCTGTACTGCAACTGCATCCTAGCTTCCCATTTTGCAGGGTGACCTGAGTAACCTGCTTAACCTCTCCACATTTCTTCCCCTTTTCTCTGCTTTTATGATTATGATTTGTCTGTAAAAAATGACGCCAATATCACATTCTGCACAGATCTCAAAGTTCTAGGGGGGAAAGATGGTGAAAGGATGGAGAAATAAAGATGAGAGTTAATATATAGAAAGCTAAAGTCAGGTGGAGCCCTCTCTGTGGATAGGAGACAAGGAACTGCTCAACCACTGCAATGCTTTTATGCATGTATTTCTCCTGTGGTACACCTTTGCTTAACTAGCTTGCCTCTCATGCCCCATGTTCTTGGGACTGAAATATCTTTTTGCTTGGTAGACTCCATGTCTTCAGGGCATTCTTTGGGTGCTTTGTGCTCTCAGCTCCACATGTATGAACTATCACTAGCCCAGCCACTCCTGACATCTCCCCTTTTCTGCTTTTCTAGTTGCCGTCAGTATGTGTTCACTAGAAGTTGGAGGAACTGTGTTTGGAGGACTCTGCTGAACTGTTTTTTCCTTATGGTGACACTTTTCCAAGGGATGTTTAAAAGCAAGTCAAAGTGAGATATGTATTCATTAAAATTATTTTCTTGCTATTTGTCAAGGCCAGAATTGCCTTAATACTATGTACAGCACCTCTTAGTACTTCTATAAGTGTCAGTTTTCTGAGGAATCATGTCCTTTGCTTGACCAAGTTGTTTCTATGACAGCTTAGGAGATTCTTCTCTCCTGGTGTCTCTCCATAGGCACAGTATACACCATTGATCACTTTCCCCTGTGGGGCCTCAAACTCCTTGAAGACCAGAGTCTCATTGAGATGTCCCAGCAGAGGGACCTCACTGATATCCAAGGGCTCAAGCCAAAATATTGGCTATCTTCTTAGCCCATGTATCCTTCTCAAGTTTTGGCCTTCAACCCTCCGTTGTTGAACATGCAGAAGAGAAGATGGTGATATAACATTGTAATAGGTTCAGTGAGGTTA